AGGGGTGTTAATGTTGCAGTTTAAAAAACGTATAATCGTAAAGCACCTTTTGCAAGACAGTGATGGAGGGATGATGGTGAAAGTTTTTCTTTTCGGGCACACCATGCCTTGGTGGGAATAGGCCAGTGTGATAATAAAAAAAAAAAAAAAAAATAAAAGGAATGATAACTTGAACAACGCCTGTGTACAACACGAATTCCACCAATCATCTCATGAAATTCAGAGACGACCAAATTATGTGATCAAAGAGAAACTAATTTCTGCAGACACAAGTGCCTCGAATGAGCACTGTTTGCTGATTTCGAATACAATTAAAAACAAACAACGGCAGCTCAACCATCTCCGAAGTCTTTAGCAAGAATCCTCTGAAAACAGTAAACCCTGCCATCACATAGTCTTCCTGTTATTACATACACAAAGCAATTACTGAGTGTACACTGAACAAGCTGCCGCCCTTACCACTCTATATTTCTCCATACTATTTTTATGTTACCAGTATAGCTTTTATTTCCTTTTATCATTGTACGGAATTAATTGCTCTCCATACTGGTATTACTTTTGTCACTATACTACTACGACTAATACTAACCCCACCACTATGTGAAACATCGAAATGGTACTCACAGTATAGCACCTCACTTCTGAGCCTTTATATACCTCTGTGTGTCCATGTATTGTTTTGTAATGGTTTGGACAAAGATACTGAGAGAGTGAAACGTTTGCACAATAAAATGTCACATTAGTTGCACTTGTGTCCTTTTTACTTTACATATTGTCGGTAATTCTACCAACTTTATTACATTTTTTACTTTAATTTTTTATGATGTTAGTACTTTATTTTTATCTGTAAGGTTTAGAATAGACATGTGTACAACACAAACATAGAAAACACGGTCGTAAGTCAAATGGTCTTATGTCAAGCAGTTCGTAAGTCGGATGGTAGGTGTAATATTTTAACATATTTAAACCACACATTGTAAGCTTTGCAAGGAAATAAACATTTCATTTTCATTTTCATGGCGTCCTGGGACGAAGGAATGTGGGTGGACACAGGGAAAGGGCTTAGAGGCAGTATGAGGAGGCAGATGGATTTCCATATCTGTCACTGATACAGTCACAGACACAGGAGGAGGCAAGAAGAAAGACACAGAGGCAGGATAAGATAAGCATGAAAAAAACAGCAGGTTAGAAAGGTAGGGAGCTATGATGGCAGGGGAGGAGTTTTGAGTCTTGAAGGAAGAGTGGAAGGTCCAGCAGGAAAAGGCTGTATAGGTGGAGAAACAAGGGAAATGGAAGAGGATGAAGTAGTAAGAATGGGAGAGGGTAGAGAGGTAGGAACATCAGAGGTAAGGACCTTAAAATTGGGTACAGGGGTGACTTTGGAAGAAGGTACCACAAGGACTGTGGATGATGACCAGCTCTGTAGTAGGAAAGCCATGGAAGTCTTCTTTGAAGACAGAGTCGAGTCACTGCCATAATGTATGAGAGATGTTCCTTTTCCTTATTATAATCAAAATCAAGCACTAAACCCACTAAAGTCTGCTTTTCCTTGAGACAGCAAATTTTTCTGTCTTGCAAGAAAACCATGTAGTGGCAGGAAAAATCTGAGTGAGCTTTTCCATAGTTTAGGCAAGTGGGAGAGGATGGTAGCAGAATGGATTTTGATCTTCCACACTGCAGACCGGGCATTATGCTGATGATCTACAATATTTTCCTGGGTGGCCAAAGCACCAACAATGTCTGCATTACTGAGGCACTGGGAGAAAATCCCATACTTGTAAGCACTGTCCTGCTATACAAATTGAGGTTGGAAGCTCCAAGAAATCAAAGGTCAGTGTGATAATGTTGCTAGGATAAAGTCTCTAACCTTGAGGAAGGCAGATGTAAGTTTCCACTTTGGTTACTGGAAGATTCTGAGCTCAAGTTGCTCCTGAATGTCTGGGTCACAATGTGTAAATTCTACTTGGACTATAGTGTGCAGGATGAAGACAATATGAGAGCTAGAACTTACAGAAGAATGTTTGTGTATTGGGACATGAGTATCGTCAACAGAGCAGAGAAGGTAATACATGTAAGCTTATTCAGTATCCTTCAAAGTGACAATACACAGCCCACTCTTGAGGGCATGGGAGAATAAATTTTGACTAACATGCCTCATGAGTGCTTTGCTAATGCCATGGTCAGTAAAGTAATTACTAGGTATCATCAGCTGAAGAGACAAGGATTTCTTCAAAGATAATCCTCGAAATATGGCCTGGAGGGAAAGAAGTTTCCAAGTTGCATATTTCTTAGGATATGGGTAAGAAGGAGCATCAGTAATAGTATGAGGTTTACCAAGTATGGGTTGAAGCCATTTGGACGATGGCTTCAAACCAATCTGCCCTATGATAAGTGGAAGATTTGAAAATCAACACACCATCATGGAATAAGCCAGGAGCATGGCCAAAGCAGAGCAAAGAACAGTGGTAGTAAAAGGGTCAGCCAGAATGCTGGTACTGGAGTCAGGCAACAAGCTGTTGCCTAAAAGCTATACTGGGATCAAAGGAAGGTCCGTGGGCATGCCAGGGTTAGGTAAAGGTTCCACGGGGAAAAGGGAATCGTGAGGAGACTAAGCATGACTATGAGCTTTTTTCTTTTCCTTTTTTCTTTATTAAAAGGGGGTGGGGGCAGAAGAAAGAGGGGGGGGGGGGCTCTGAGAAGAAAAATAAACCATATCCTCCCTCCAGATCCAAGAGTACCCTCAATGTGGCCAGTAGTGTTGATGCTGCATGGAAACCGTCCTTTACCCTACCTGGTATACCACAAGCCCCAGTACACCAGGATGGCTCTTTAAGAGTCAACCAAGCCAGGATCAGCAAACAAGAGAGGTGGGCAACTGGAAACACCAAGAGTCATATCCCTTTTGCTGCCACCTCCTGGAAGTAAAAGGTAGCCTCCAGCTAATCCAACTGCTCTGGCAAACACCACCACAACCACCACCGAGGTCCTCAACAGAATGGGGTGGATGACGATCCCTTTTCCCCTCTGACTAGGTGCTGAAAGTCACACTGGAAAAATATCCCCAAATTAAGTGGCCAAATGAAGAGAGGAAAGAAGGGGAGGGGAGAGGTGGAGATATTTAGATCTAATCCAAGGAAGGAGATAAAAGGTCTAATTCCTCAGATCAAGAGCACCTTTCCTACATCGAAGGGCCTCCCTACCTCTTAAAGGAATTTGTAGCTATAGATCAACACTCATAAATAAATGACCGATTCCAAAGTGACCTCTTCATAAGTGCAGGTGTTTCTATCCCAGATGTTCATAAGTTGGGGCTCTACTGTGTCTCTCTTCCCTACCATAGTGTATCATCATATAAGACAATATTATGAAATGATCTTCGTACAAAAAATCAACTTTTATCATACAACTGCGTCTGTAAAACTATGCTCAGAGAATACTTCACAAATATTTGCAGTATTAATTAAATATTATAAATTCTAAAACCTAATCTCATCTTCAATGATTTGATTCATTTGTGAAATGCTTTAAACTTATTTTGTTTCTTATTTCTATAAATTATGCTTGCAATTAATTTTTTCTCATCTAAACCGTGGCTTTTATTCCTTCATACATAAATTGTACTACCATGAATTTTGTTTCTCATGTATAAACAGTGTAAACCACGGTACAGGCAGGGATTAACCCTTTCAGGGTCCGTCCCGTAGATCTACGGCTTTTCAGTGAGTGTCCAAACTGTAGATCTATGCCAAAATTCTAGCGCCGTCAAATTCAGCGCGAAAGCGCTCATAGGCCTACATGTGAGAGAATGGGTCTGCGCCGTGGGTGTGCGCCGTAAACAAAAAATCTAGGCGCCTGCATAGCATTGTGGGAACGCCGGCTCAGTCACCCTTGTTCACCATGCCTCGTCGCAAGTCAGCTCTCACTCCCTGGAAAATTGGGACTCTCCTCTTCCTGTCTGATAGTTCTGACACTGATGGAAGTGCAAATGAAGACAAATTCTATGGCTTTGATAAGTTAGTGACCGAAAATAATGACCAGGATATCGATAATAGTGCAGAAAACCCCGACGATCCTTGACCTTCTACCTCTGGTGTGGGCACTCGTGACTCACGGTCGGGTGTTCCTAAACGTAAGAGAAAACTAATATTTTCGCGTGGCCAGGCCTCTGACTTCAGTAATGACGATGATTCTGACGTGGATTTTGATTTTATTGCGCTTGACGATCATTTGAGTAGTGATAGTGAGGAAACATATTCACCAGTGAAGCGTCGGTATGTTCGCCGCTGCATGCGCTCGGGTAGTGTACCCTATGCTGTGCCCAGGGGACGGAGTACATCCCGGAGTACATCCCGTGGCCCTACACCCATTTTAGGTAGTGATAGTGAGGATGATGTGGCTACACTTGGCATGGATGGGCCACAGGCATCAGTGGATGGTGTTAGTGGTGCTGGTGGTGGTAGTAGCACCGCCATGCGTGACTCACCGTGCCACACGGGGACCCACGCTGCTGACTCGTCAGTTCAAGGACAAAGCGGAGCGTCAGCCACCAGCCCGCCACAACCACAACCACCCGTACAACCAGCCTATGATGTCCAGTATCCACCAGCAAACCGTATGTGGGATTGGCAGCAAAATCCCAATTTTGTTCCCAACCCTCACCACTTGATGACTCTCAAAGTGGAATTCTACCTACCTGTCCCCTTGGAACCACGGCCAATGAACTGGAATTCTTTGAATTATTCTTTGACCAGCCATTAATGGAAATTATTGCCAGGGAAAGTATTAAGTATTTTCAGTACACCATGGCAAATACGATCTTATCACCACAGTCAAGACTACACAGGTGGAAAGAGACGACTGTTGCAGAAATGTATTTGCTTTTTGCAACAATAATGCTAATGCCTCACGTCTATAAGCATAATATAAAAGCATACTGGTCCACAGATCGGCTAATTTCTACCCCATCCTTCAGTGAAATAATACCAGTGAACAGGTTTATCTTACTGTTACGTATGTTGCACTTCTCTGACAAAACCAGGCCTGACAGAAGTGACAGGTTATACAAGATTAGAAATGTTTTCATGTATCTCAAACAAAAGTTCAGGATATACTTTTATCCATTCAAGAATCTTGTAATTGACGAGTCTTTGATTTTGTTCAAAGGTAGACTGTCATTCAAGCAGTATATACCGAGCAAGAGGAACCGCTTTGGTATAAAATTGTTTGTACTGTGTGATTGTGACAGTGGCCTGGTGTTGGATATTGTTGTATACACGGGTAGTAAAACATTGAAAGATACCAAGATGTTATTGGGTATCTCAGGTGATGTAGTGAGAAACATGATGGCACCTTATCTTGGTAAGGGCCATACATTATATACCGATAACTGGTACACAAGCCCATTACTCAGTGATTTCATGCGAGTGAACAAGACAGATGTGTGTGGCACAGTGCATTCTAATCGTAAACATATGCCCAGGCTCAATGCAGGTGTTCGTGGTGATGACGTGCAGGTGTTTACTGCCAATGACATCATGGCATTACGGTGGCATGACAAACGAGATGTCACATTGTTGACAACCATTCACCGTAATGAAATGCAAGACAGTGGCAAAGTTGATCGAGTGACTAATGAACGTATTCGAAAACCAGTGTCAGTGATTGATTATACACAAAACATGCGCTTGGTTGACAAGTGTGACATGCAGATTGGTTTTGTTGACTGTGTTCGTAAGAGTTACAAGTGGTATATGAAACTTTTCTTCCATCTCATGGACATTTCAATGCTGAATGCATATAATATGTACCAAATAAAGACTGGTAACAGACCACCGTATGGTGAATTTTGTTTGTCTGTTGTCAGACAACTCATAATGAAGTACCAGGTAACAACACCTGCAATACAACATGGTCCTCGAATTCATCACGATATACCCAAGCGTTTGAGGAGAGAAGGTGATCATTTCATAATACAGCTTCCTTCAACTCAAAAGAAATTTGCTCAGAAGAGATGCATTGTCTGTGCACAAACAAAACGACGGCAACAAAGACGCAAAGACACTCGGTTTATGTGTGAGGAATGTAAGGTGCCTCTGTGCATGGTGCCTTGTTTCAAGGAGTTCCACAAGCTCCAGCAGTTCTAAAACCATGTCCAGTGATTGTAAATATGTAAATATATGATAGAACATTAGTATTATACAATATTTGTGCATGTTTATTGTAATAAACAACAGTGGTAAACAATAATATGATAATAACTTTAGTGCGGTTATTGTGTTCAATACAGTGAGTTTATATATATCAATTACATACAGTATTGGTCTCTCAGGCCCCAAATGTTAGTAGGAATAGAAAAAAAATTGGAAAAGAAAAGAAAAAACAACTAAAACAACAAAATAATATAATACGCGTATGTGGAATTCGTCGATGTTGCCACCACCACATAATTTTGCATAAACTTCTTGGCACTGTATCTCGGTAAGTACTGATCAGATTCTATTTTTTTTTTGTTTTATTACCTTCACAAAAATATGCTCTTTAATTCTGTAAGAAAAAATAATTTTTTTTTTTTTAAATTTCTTGGACACTGGTGCGTGACTTCAGATTTTGGCCTTGGACCCTGAAAGGGTTAAACTCATGGTGAGTAAGCCGTAAAACTCCAACTGTGTCATTACGATTTCTTGAGTTATAAACAATGTATTTTGTTTTATGTATAAACAGTGTATTTTGTTTCTCATGTATAAACTGTATACAGTGGACTCCCAGTTATCGTAATTAATCCATTCCAGAGAGTGTGACTAAAGCCGAATTTGATGATATCCGAATTCATTCCCCTATAAGAAATAGTGCAAATCCAATTAATCCATTCCAGACACCCAAAAGTTTTTACTTGAAATATACATTTGCCTACACAGAAAACAATGAGATATGAAGAATAAAACAATAATAACATGACACTTACCTTTATTGAAGACTTGTTGATGTATGGAAGATGGTAGGAGGGGAGAGGATGGAAGACGGTAGGGGGGGAGAGGATGGAGGAGTTACTATTGTTTGGAAGGGGAATTCCCTCCCATAAAAACTTCAGGTATTAAGTCCTTTCCCAGGGTTACTTCCCTTCTTTGTTTTTAATGCCACTAGGACCAGCTTGAGAGTCATTGCACACCTGTGGTACTAAGTATCTGTCCAGAGAGTTCTGTTTCTGGCATCTCTTTAAAATTTCCCTAAAATGGGACAAGACATTGTCACTGTACATGTTGCTGACACGGCTTGCAACTGCTTTCTTAGGGTGATGTTCCTCCAGAAATCTTTCCATCCTTCTCCACATTGCACAAATCTCCATTACTACCACCATCACTACCACCCTCGCATTTTTCTACAATCTTCTTCTTAATTCTATCGTGTTTGTCACCTTCTGAACCAAAGGGTTGGCACTAGCTTTCTTTGAACCCATGGTGGCTTATTTAGCAGTTGCAAGCACTAAAGCAAACTGTAATATTACGAAATGTATCGTATGAACGCATGGGATCGTGCTCACTCGCTGATAAACAATGGCACATTGACTGTGGCCATGTTGGGGCCGCTCGTACGTGTTTGGGACAAATGACAATCACCGAGGTAAATGATGATCACCGAGCCAATATTTTGACGAAAAAACGATTATAATTACCGAATACAGTATTATGAAATCCAACGACTACGATATCCAAGGGTCCATTGTATTTACTTTCTCATGTATAAACTGTGTACTGTGGAACTTCAACTTACTTAATCTGTTCCGTGACCTTGCTCATATCCCGATTTGCTCGTATGCTAAGTCAATTTTCCTCATTCAAATTAATCGAAATGCAATTAATCTGTTCTGGCTCTCAGGAGGCATAACAAAATACTACTTCAATATTTTTTGTAATATCAACTATAGCTTATTTACCTATCACAATTCATCTAATATGACATAATAAACAATATAAATAATATAAAAACTTGATACATGTATATGCTCTAGAATGAATAAAACACTATGTCTCTACATGTATGTGACAAGGGGTGGCGGCCATTCCCTACCTCAAGCCGCCTTGTTGTGGGTGAGCGGGGGAGGCCTCCCACCATTCCCTGACACCACCATCCCAGCTTTCGTGAATAATAGTGTTCAGTTCCACTTCTCTCCTACAAGCTAGCTGTGTTTGTGAATTGTGTTTTGATCTTTTAATTACCATATCTGACTTACTGACTTGACTGAATGACTTACTGACTCAAATGACTGACTTGACTGACTGACTTAATTGACTGACTGACTTAGCTGACTGACTTACTGACTTGACTGAATGACTTACTGACTTAACTGACTGACTTACTGACTTGACTGACCCTGCAACGGTGTCTAGAGCAGCTGATGCCTTACCGTCAGTTGTATAATGTACTGCAGGGTAAAATAGAACAGAAATCCATTACAGAATTTATGCACACTCCAGTACAACCATCGACTTCAGTACATCTACCATCCACCTCAGACCAGTAGGACCACAACATAACTCTCCACTCTCTTCACAATCATCCACAAACACCAGCACCCACAATTTAAGGTAAGAAATACAGTGGAACCTCAAATATCGAACTTTCTTCATTCCGGACGGCTGTTCGAGTGCCGTTACCGAATGAATTTATTCTCATCAGGAATAATGTAAATTAGTTTAGTTCATATCAGACCCTCAAAAATACACTTAAAAAAGCACTTACAAAAATACACTTACATAATTGGTTGAGAGCAGTTCGATATTTGAGGTTCCACTGTACTATTATTTCTGTTGCAGTTATAGTCTTAAGCAGTTAAAACTACATAATACATCACGACAATGAACTAAAATTATATATTCACTTTTATTTTCGTAAGATCTGGAGGTCTAAAAAAAAAAAGTTGTTTGAGGGAGAAGCTCACATCCTGAATTTTTGTTCGTATCCAGAAACAAAAAATTGACCGAGAGACTGCTCATATCCTGAAAAACTCGTATGGTGGGGCACTCGTAAGCCGAGGTTCCACTGTATTTTGTTTCATACATAAATGGTGTGTTTTACTTTTCTCACATATAAACTGCATATTTTTTCTCATGTATAAATCGTGCTACTTGTGAATTCTGTTTCTCTTGTTTGCAAATTATGCTTGCTACCTTTGAATTTTGTTTTTCTTGTATGTAAACCATGAGTTTCATTTTTGTATAAACTGTTACCTGTAAATATTGTTGTGAAAAAACTATGCTGGCTGTGAAATTTGCTTTTCTCATAAATACATAAATCATGAATTTTGTTTATATCATGCATAACCTATGCATATTTTCTCATGTATAAACTGTGGTAGTTATGAATTTTGTACCAAAAATAAATTTTACCTTGATAATTACCCGTTGAGGGTTTTGGGGGTCAACGTCCCCGCGACCTGGTCTGTGACCAGGAAGGAGGGATGAACTCATATATCTTGCACAACATTTGAGTTTTGTCGAAAGTCTTTTAAAGATTTTGAACCCTTGAACGATTTCATGTCCTTATGAAGTCTCATGTGTTTAACGAGAGATGACTTTAAGGAAAAGACATTGAGGCATATTGAACACTGAAAGGGTTTTTCTCCAGTATGAACTCTCATATGAAGTACTAAAGCTGATTTTATTGAGAAATCCTTTGGACATAACGTACAAGAATATGGTTTCTCGCCTGTATGTATTCTCATGTGTTGTATTAGCTGTGAACTTTGTTTGAAATCTTTTGAACATTCTGAACACTGGTATGGTTTTTCACCTGTATGAATTCTCATATGTATTACCAGATATGATCTCCTGGAAAATTCTTTTGGACAAACTGAACATCTATATGGTTTCTCTCCTGTGTGAATTCTCATGTGTTTTACCAAAGATGCTTTCACAGTGAAGTCTTTAAGACACTCTGAACACTGAAATGGTTTTTCTCCTGTATGAACTCTCGTATGTAGCACTAGATTTGAATTTTGTGTGAAAGTCATTAAACAAATCGAACACTGATATGGTTTTTCTCCCGTATGAATTCTCATATGGTTTACTAGAGCTGATTTCACAGAAAAGTCTTTTAGACACTCTGTGCAATGATATGGTTTCTCTCCCGTATGAATTCGCATATGTTGTATTAAAGATGATTTTTCTGAAAAATCTTTTAGACAATCAGGACACTGATGTGGTTTCTCTCCTGTGTGAATTCGCATGTGTTTTAATAGAGACGAGTTTTCTAAAAAGTCTTTATAACACACCGAGCACTGGTACGGTTTCTCTCTTGTGTGAACTTTCATATGGTTCACCAGAGATGATTTCACCGTAAAGTCTTTAGGACACAAGGAGCACTGATAAGGTCTTTCTTCATCGTGAGCTCTTAAATGGTTTACCAGGGCTTGTTTGGATGAAAATTCTTCTTGACACACTGAACACTGATATGGTTTACCTAACATGTGAACTCTCTTGTGGTTTACTAGAGCTTGTTTAACTGAAAATTCTTTTTGACATTGTGAACACTGATATGGTTTATCTTCCACATGACCTTTCATATACATTGCTACGGTTGATTTTACAAAAGTCCTTTTAAAACTAAACACTGATAAGTTAGTTTTAAAGTTAATTTAAAGGATTTTTGTCATGGAACAATGTAATGTTTTCTCTTCTGTTTCAAACCTCTTCATAAGGTTTTTACTGAAAAGGTTTCATGAACTTTCGTTTGTTGAACTAATGTTATTTTCTGCAATAATTAAGACAATGAACATTTATATGCCTTACTAAGTTTATTCAGACACAATTACACAATCTTTGGATGATTACACAGTAATAATAATAATAATCAGACGAAGCACTAACCTGGTTGGATGATTACATTGTCCTACAAAACAACAGAAATTTTAAAAAAAGTAAGTGACTTATTTCCAATATATGTTCCTGTATGTGAATAATTTTTCTTAAGTTTTGTAGAAACAACAAACACTGATATGATTTATCTTTTGTACGAAGTTGTATATCTTTCCACCAAAAAATTATTTTAAACAAAGGTTTATTTTATTTAAAACGAATATTTAGTTAATTTTAAACACTTATTACAGATTGGGTTTCTGTGTAATTTTATTTGTTCATAAGCCAGATATTTATAAACAATTTGAAAAGCCCGACAATTTTACCTCACATGAAGAGCTCTTGACAGTTCAGATATAAATTTACTTTTGTAACAAATGTCTGGAAGACACATTTAACTGTCATTAAAATGACATTTACGCAAAATGATAGAAAATAAAGACAACGACATGTTTTAGCGAAATAAATTAGCAGATGTATGAAGTTCACATAGTGAAAAATTCACTTATGTTGTACAGTGACATCCTTTAGGTTGAAATTATATTAACATCAAAAGTTTAGAGGGTGCTTAAATATCCAAAAAAACTTGTTTTTCAAATAATTTATCACAAACATTAACTTTTCTTGAACTTTCATGCAGTGAGTGTTGAGTGTAGTTCAAAGTTGTTGTGTTAAGTGTAGTTCAAAGTTGTTGCGTTAAGTGTAGTTCAAAGTTGTTGTGTTAAAGTGTAGTTCAAAGTTGTGTTAAGTGTAGTTCAAAGTTGTTGTGTTAAGTGTAGTTCAAAGTTGTTGTGTTAAGTGTAGTTCAAAGTTGTTGTGTTAAGTGTAGCTCAAAGTTGTTGTGTTAAAGTGTAGTTCAAAGTTGTTGTGTTAAGTGTAGTTCAAAGTTGTTGTGTTAAGTGTAGTTCCAAGTTGTTGTGTTAAAGTGTAGTTCAAAGTTGTGTTAAGTGTAGTTCAAAGTTGTTGTGTTAAGTGTAGTTCAAAGTTGTTGTGTTAAGTGTAGTTCAAAGTTGTTGTGTTAAGTGTAGTTCAAAGTTGTTGTGTTAAGTGTAGTTCAAAGTTGTTGTGTTAAGTGTAGTTCAAAGTTGTTGTGTTAAGTGAGTTCAAAGTTGTTGTGTTAAGTGTAGTTCAAAGTTGTTGTGTTAAGTGTAGTTCAAAGTTGTTGTGTTAAGTGTAGTTCAAAGTTGCTGTAATGAGTATAGTTCAAGTTGTTGTGTTAAAGTGTAGTTCAAAGTTGTTGTGTTAAGTGTAGTTCAAAGTTGTTGTGTTAAAGTGTAGTTCAAAGTTGTTGTGTTAAAGTGTAGTTCAAAGTTGTTGTGTTAAGTGTAGTTCAAAGTTGCTGTAATGAGTATAGTTCAAAGTTGTTGTGTTAAAGTGTAGTTCAAAGTTGTTGTGTTAAAGTGTAGTTCAAAGTTGCTGTAATAAGTGTAGTTCAAAGTTGTTGTAGTGAGTGTAGTTCATAAAGTTGTTAAGTTTTAATTTTTAAAGTGTTAATGTTTTTATCAAAGTCTAATGGTAGTAAAATTTCACTAAATATATGCATTAGAAACTAGGGTTTTGTAAACTACCAGCAACATACAGTACTTGAAGAATGATGGTACAGTATGTACCATCATATAAAAAAATACAACTAAATAAGCTGAAGCAGAAATTTGGAAAATCTGATTTATAAAATACCACACATTTAATTACATTTGTTTTAAGCTTCTCAAAATTATTAAAAAAATAAATACCATCCAAAATGAATCATACTCAATGCTATATACTTGACTTGCTTGTACACACTGATCTTATCTTAAACTTACTGTTATTTAACATGTGTACTTCCTTTTAAATAGATGAGTTCTAGTACTCTAGATTACACTGCTTATGTAATACCTCACATAATGAGTAACTTTGCCAGGACGACAATATAAGCTTAAGATATTGAGTTCTAACACTCTACTTTGTGACACTTGTTGCCATTAAGTGTAGATACAAATACAGTGCATTTACCACTTTTATTAATAAACTTTAGAACACTACTATGGCAGTTTTAATATTTGAAGAGTGATTTTACCTGGCAATCTTGGCAATAAAACTCAGCACACAACACACATAAAACATCTAATAATAAAATAAAAATAAAAATATGAACAAAATACACAATTACTGAATTATCTCACCAAGTCAAAATAACTGCCATTTCATTTGCATTTTCAATTTATGTAAATGTCAAAAAAAAAAAAAAAAAAAATCCCTGGAGGTCCATACATGTACCTCGATAATAATAGCAACCACAAATTAAGCAAAAATGCGGAAATCTTGGGCGTATAGGTAAAATGTGCTCCACAGTCAGAAGAAAGCTGGAGCACCTGCAAGCAGGTGACTATAGGCAGGGTGTGCACATCCAATCCACTGGCTGATGGTGCTAGCAGGTGACTCTATAGATAAGCCACTGTGTGTTGATCAATCAAATGTAATGCTTCTGATGAATGAAGAAGCTGCAAAAGAGGAAAGGAGATAAATATTGATGAATTCAAGTAATGTACTGTAACATGAGGTAACATTAACTACTGTCACATCTTTGCAAGTACAGTGGACCCCCGCATAACGATTACCTCCGAATGCGACCAATTATGTAAGTGTATTTATGTAAGTGCGTTTGTACGTGTATGTTTGGGGGTCTGAAATGGACTAATCTACTTCACAATATTTCTTATGGGAACAAATTCGGTCAGTACTGGCAGCTGAACATACTTCTGGAGTGAAAAAATATCGTTAACCGGGGGTCCACTGTATATTAAATCTGAAGTTTTTTTCTATAACACGATGAAAACAATATGGATGAATACAGTAAAAAACAAACCATATATAATTTACTGGAATAAATTCTTACTCAAGAATGCTATGTGGCTTTAACCTTTTTCACTCTTCAATGCCCCAAAAATAAAACTGCTCTGTGCCTACATTTCCTTAACCCCTTTGAGGGTCCGTGCCGTTGTTCTATGGGTTTCAAGCCAGGGTCTGTGCTGTAGTACTACGTGATGAACTCAGCTCATTCAGATAAGTTGAGACTGATAAATGTGTGTTGTGCCTAGATATGAGAGAATGGGTCTATGTGGTAAGTGTGCACCATATAAAAAAAATCCTGCAGCACACAATGCAGAATGAGAAAAATCTGCAACTGTGTTTTTGGCTTAAAACAGTGACTTTACGGTGTGTTTTCGTATGGTTTCCATGGATGTATTCTCGAATTCTTGGTCTCAGTTGACAGAATGGAAGATATAGAAAGAGAAATGATTTTGATTGGTTTTAAGACTGAGAACAGCATGAAACTGAGCATCAAATAGCATCAACAGTACCAGCACTACCACCAGTGGTACTAGCATCAACAGTACCAGCACTACCACCAGTGGTACTAGCATCAACAGTACCAGCACTACCACTAGTGGTATTAGCATCAACAATACCAGCACTACCACCAGTGGTATTAGCATCAACAGTACCAGCACTACCACTAGTGGTATTAGCATCAACAGTACCAGCACTACCACTAGTGTAACTAGCATCAACAGTACCAGCACTACTGCTAGTGGTATTAGCATCAACAGTACCAGCACTACCACTAGTGGTACTAGCATCAACAGTACCAGCACTACCACTAGTGGTACTAGCATCAACAGTACCAGCACTACCACTAGTGGTATTAGCATCAACAGTACCAGCACTACCACCAGTGGTATTAGCATCAACAGTACCAGCACTACCACTAGTGGTATTAGCATCAACAGTACCAGCACTACCACTAGTGGTATTAGCATCAACAGTACCAGCACTACCACTAGTGGTACTAGCATCAACAGTACCAGCACTACTGCTAGTGGTATTAGCATCAACAGTACCAGCACTACCACTAGTGGTATTAGCATCAACAGTACCAGCACTACCACTAGTGGTACTAGCATCAACAGTACCAGCACTACCACTAGTGGTACTAGCATCAACAGTACCAGCACTACCACTAGTGGTATTTTGCATCAACAGTACCAGCACTACCACTAGTGGTATTAGCATCAACAGTACCAGCACTACCACTAGTGGTATTAGCATCAACAGTACCAGCACTACCACTAGTGGTATTAGCATCAACAGTACCAGCACTACCACTAGTGGTATTAGCATCAACAGTACCAGCACTACCACTAGTGGTATTAGCATCAACAGTACCAGCACTACCATTAGTGGTACTAGCATCATCACTGCTAACACTACCATTCTGTGACTTGGTAGCGCTCTCACCTCACACAGTGTGTCTGTGGTTCGTCTCCGGCATGGGTGAAACGTTGTGTACGTTTCCTTACACCTGTTGTCCCTGCTCACCTAGCAGTAAGTCAGTACCTGGGTATTAAGTCACCTTAAACCTGCTGTCCCTATTCATCTAGCAGTAAGTAGGTACCTGGGTGTTATTTGACTGGTGTGGGTCACATCCTGGGGGACAAAACTGAAGCTTCAGACTAACCCTCCCTACCTTGGGTTATTCTGGGTGACTAACCCTCCCTACCTTGGGTTATCCTGGGTAGCTAACCCTCCCTACCCTGGGTTATTCTGGGTGGCTAACCATCCCTACCCTGGGTTATCCTGGGTGACTAACCCTCCCTACCATGAGTTATCCTGGCTGGCTAACCTTCTCTGCCCTGGGTTATCCTGGGTGGCTAACCCTCCCTACCCTGGGTTATCCTGGGTAGCTAACCCTCCTTACCTTGGGTTATCCTGGGTGACTAACCCTCCCTACCTTGGGTTATCCTGGGTGACTAACCCTCCCTACCCTGGGTTTCTCCTGGGTGGCTAACCCTCACTATCTTGGGTTATCCTGGGTGATTAACCCTCCCTACCCTGGGTTATCCTGGGTGACTAACCCTCCCTACCCTGGGTTATTCTGGCTGGCTAACCTTCCCTACCTTGGGTTATCCTGGGTGACTAACCCTCCCTACCCTGGGTTTGTTCTGGGTGGCTAACCCTCACTACCTTGGGTTATCCTGGGTGATTAACCCTCCCTACCCTGGGTGATTAACCCTCCCTACCCTGTGTTATCCTGGCTGGCTAACCTTCCCTACCCTGGGTTATCCTGGGTGACTAACCATCCCTACCCTGGGTTATCCTGGGTGACTAGCCCTCCCTACCCTGTTATCCTGGCTGGCTAACCTTCCCTACCCTGGGTTATCCTGGGTGACTAACCATCCCTACCCTGGGTTATCCTGGGTGACTAACCCTCCCTACCCTGGGTTATCCTGGCTGGCTAACCCTCCCTACCCTGGGTTATCCTGGCTGGCTAACCCTCCCTACCCTGGGTTATCCTGGCTGGCTAACCCTCCCTACCCTGGGTTATCCTGGCTGGCTAACCCTCCCTACCCTGGGTTATCCTGGGTGACTAACCCTCCCTACCCTGGGTTATCCTGGCTGGCTAGCCTTCCTACCCTGTGCTATTCTGGGTGGCTAACATTCCCAAGTTAAAAATCCCAACAAATGTTATTTAGTATTGACTAGACTCACCCCTCCAGTTACTGGCCAGACCCATCGATGCTTAACTAGACCGAGATACACCATTCACTGCATGTGGTGCTGCTCTTCTACACATTTGTACGTCCTTGTCTATCTTGCAGTATCTATCACTCGCATGAGTATACATGTGTTGCATAAATAACCTCACACTTACAAATATTAGCAGCAAAGAAAAAGATTTTGGTTTAGGTAGGAGTGGCGTCCCTGTTGTTGTTGTGGTCGTTAAGGGTTTCCAAACCTTACGCTTTGTTGAGCTCTTCCTCCAGGAGTCCTAGTAGATGATTACTAATAATAATAATACTAATAATAATAATAATAGTAATAATAATAATAATATTATATCTACAAGCACATGTGCAAGGTATACAAGCCTAGCTGCCCTATATGCGACCCACACCAGTCAACTAACACCCAGGTATCTATTTTAGTTCTAGGTGTACATGGACAGCAGGTGTCTTAATTAAACATGTCCTAGTGTTTCCACTCGCACCGGGGATCGGACCACGAACCTCGATGTGTGAGCCGAGTGTTCTAGCAATAGTGCTGTAAAGAAAACAATAACTAAGCTTATGCAAAACGACTGGAGAAAATATGTTAATTGAATCAGTCAACGCCATTTTTACTACACATTAAGTCAAGAAATAGCTGCTCTCGTGTACAATTGCTATGGATCCCATCACACATTGGATTACTCCTTCATGATAAAGTTGATATGTTAGCCAAGAAGAGTATCGAGAAGGAGAATGTAGAATATAACTTTGGTATAACTGTGTCTAGCATTAGGAATAATATTAGGAGAGAAGTAAATAATGAAAATGATTGCTATAGGAATGCAGTTAGAAGCCTGAGTAGATCTATAACCCACTATGATAACATGAACGTAGATAAGTATGTTTATGGAGCAACTTGCAATGTGAACAGACTGACTGATGTTGTAGTAGCCAGGCTTAGGCTTGGTTACAAGTACTTCTGGCAGTTTGGGAGACACACAGATGATGATCAAACTAAATGTAAATTATGTGATCAGGCATATGGTCACTCTCTTGAACACTATGTGCTTAATTGTCCACTTATTGAGGAATACAGAGACAGACAGTATAATAACCTATGTGACATGTCAAGATATCTTACCTGGAGTTTACCTGGAGAGAGTTCCGGGGGTCAACGCCCCCGCGGCCCGGTCTGTGACCAGGCCTCCTGGTGGATCAGAGCCTGATCAACCAGGCTGTTGCTGCTGGCTGCATGCAAACCAACGTACGAGCCACAGCCCGGCTGATCAGGAACTGACTTTAGGTGCTTGTCCAGTGCCAGCTTGAAGACTGCCAGGGGTCTGTTGGTAATCCCCCTTATGTGTGCTGGGAGGCAGTTGAACAGTCTCGGGCCCCTGACACTTATTGTATGGTCTCTTAACGTGCTAGTGACACCCCTGCTTTTCATTGGGGGGATGGTGCATCGTCTGCCAAGTCTTTTGCTTTCGTAGTGAGTGATTTTCGTGTGCAAGTTCGGTACTAGTCCCTCTAGGATTTTCGGTGTATATAATCATGTATCTGTCCCTCCTGTGTTCCAGGGAATACAGGTTTAGGAACCTCAAGCGCTCCCAGTAATTGAGGTGTTTTATCTCCGTTATGCGCGCCGTGAAAGTTATCTTATTAATGAAAATAAGATACCAGATATACTAAGCAAATTTCCTAAATTTGCTTGTAACAGATAAGTGAACTATAGACATGTAGATATAAATCCATATGTATTCCATATGTATTCTCTCTCTCTTCCTGTTAACCCTTTGGGGCCTAGTTCCTAGGCCTTTTGTGTATCCACATGCTCTCGCGCTACCGTCCACAGGATGGATATGGGGTGCACAATAAACTAGCCACTTCGGTGGCAAAATCTAATCTCTGAAATCTAATCAACAACACTAAGACTATACCAGTTTTCGTTTATTATGTCAGTTTCCTAAGCAAGCGCTATGATGACCTAGCACTACTAGACTCTTTAAATACTGACATCTTTTTACTGAAACCTGGCTTAAACATGACAAAATAGGCACCTTTACCTTACCTGGATACAGAGGCATTCATGTCTGCAGCCCTGGTCAAATGAGGGGAAGTACTGCCATATACTATTCTAACAAATTAATATGCAGTAACTCTACATGTATCAACGATGAATATAGTGAATATGTACTTCCCAACTTTGCAACCAAAAATTTAGAGATCCCTATTACAGCTGGAGGAGTCTACAGGCTACCTCATACTAACTTTTAGTGGCAACTAAAATACTTAATAACTAATAAGCACTAAACAAACATCATCTGTTACTTGCTGATGACTTCATCATTAACCTTGTTCAAGCCAAGGAACCTCAAGTAATTAGTTGCCTCAGTAGCATGTATAATTCCTTGCTTATACCACCTATATTAAACCAACAATAATCACTGTGACGAGTGCATCCTATACCTGGACTAACATAATAGCTATTCTCATAGCAAGGGTAATCACAGACAATACTACTGATTACTACCCCACTTTCCTCATAACCAATATATGTCAGCTACCACTTGATACTAGTAAGCAAGTAAGTTTATTCAGATATACACAAATACAGTTACATAGATTATTGTACATAGCAGTATATGTGTACATTATTATTATAATCAAAAAGAAGCGCTAAGCCACAAGGACTATACAGCGCTGCGTATATGTGTACCGAACCTGGGATAACCAAAAATAATCAAAGTGGCTTATTTCCATTGGGATCTTTGTGATAAGTATTATTTATGTTTAAAAGTTAAAAATGGGTATCTTAACTACGTAAAAAGCAGTTCCAATAAAAGAAGATATACTAGGGGAAAGATAAAATTAGTTATTTTCATTGATATTAACGATGGGATCAGATTATAGTATATTTTAGATACACATGATATCACTCTTCCCTTTCTTTAGCCTTATTCATAAGGTTCATTTTGGCTATCGTCTTCAACTGGCTCATACTTTGACAAGCTGTGATATGTGAAGGCAGTCTGTTCCACTCTTTTATTGCTGTACAGAAAAGTATCTGAAGCCTGACCACTCACTCTAGGCACTGCAAAGTTTTCTCTTCCCCTAGTTATATGATCTTTTTGTCTCCATTATGAGACACCATTAAAGAAATTCACTACAACAGTATATGGCATTAACTGGCACAGGGAGTTTATCGATCACAGGGGCATTGACGAATGTGTCAATATTTTTATGCAAAATAATTTACGAAGCCTTCACAGCCAGACATTTGCTATTAAAACTAAATTAGGAAAAAGAATACACACCACACACACACACACACACACACACACCACACACACACACACCACACACACACACCACAACCACACA